TTGAATTAATTCTGTTATGACAAATCAAGATAAACGTTCCCCCTAAATTGCATGCGATTTAATTAATTTTTGAGATCCTGGGTTTTTTTTTTTTCCTAGCTAATAGTTCACATGCTCCTGTGCTGTCATTGTGCTTGAGTGGGCAGACTTCAAAGTGATATTAAATAACCAACTATTAGATTTACCTAGCACGTCCTATTGGAAAAGTGCCATTTAATTACCTAGCCTGTTCAATTAAAGGGACAGCATTCTCTGAATATAGCAGCTTGCTGTTGATTACCAGGGAAATGAACTCGCTGCCTGGCGGCGTCTCCCTTCCTAACGCGAATCCCCTCCCCAAACACACCCTCCACCTCGGGCCACCCTCAAACCCCTAGCCGGGGCCCCGAGCTCAGTTCAGCTCACTGCGGCTGCGGGCGCCACGTGAACCGCCCGAGTGGAGCCGGGGACACCAGCGCCACCGCGCCGGCTCCTGCCCTGCGCTCGCCCCCTCGCGGCCCCGCACCGTGGACCCGGTCCGCCACCCACCCACTCGCCTGCTCCGACCGGAGCCCCACCCGACGGCGTCCGAACTTCCTCCTCTGGCCGCACTTTCCGCGCCAGTCACCCGGTCCGAAGTGGGGGTGGAGGAAAGCATATCGGACCGAGGGGGGGCGGGGGGAGAACCGGAGTTTGCAAAGCTACTCCACCGCGCTTAGGTGGAGCTGAGGGGTCGGAGGCTGCGGAAGGGAGGGGGCAGCTGTAAGGGTCCCCGACTTTTGAAAGGTGGAGGGGTCAGGCAGACGTGGGTCTCTTTAAGACCCACCCTCCCCCTCCTCTCTACACCCCGCTTCCAGCCTTTCCCTCCCTCTCTTAGAGGCCAATTTTGTTAATTAAATGTTTTGTTTGCGACGAAGCTCTCATTCATTGCGGACACGTCATTCGGAGTAGATCTAAGCCAGAGACCAGATCTCATTAGATAAAGCCCATCAGAACTAAGAAAATGGAGGAGCCACTAATTAAAGCTTTTAATTGTGCAGATTCGCTGCAGCAAGGCCGCTGCTTTATCTGAAATCTTGGAGGAGAGGAGGCAGAAGCCCAGCTCTGCTCAATCGACACTTGGCCACGGAATGGGGGAGTGACTGGGGGGAAAACACCTCCCTCTCCTTCCTACCCCCTACCCCCCATTGGCCTCGCCCAGCTCCCCGCAGCTTTTTAGCTAAATCTTGGTGGTTTAAAAAGCAACAACAAAACAAAACAAAAAAACCCTCAAAGTCAGACTGTGTAAAAGCCCCTTAATAAATTGCTGTGTGGTCTCAGACAGGCAAAGGGGTCTTCTTCACCCGCAGAGGGACCACGCCACTCTTTCCACTCTTCCGTAGTCCTTGGTCTCTGAAGAACTGAAAGCTCCCCCAACAAGTGGATTTGGGGGCGTTTGGGAGAGGGGATATCTGGGAGGGAAAAGAATGCCAGCACATTCTTCATTTTCCCACCCTTTGGGTTCTTTAAAGGACAGAGAGAAAAGTATCTTCAGGTATCTCTATGGGGCTGGATAGGAGGCTGGGCTTGAGGTGCCCTGAGCAAAGTGTGAGGCTGTCCATGATACATTTGGCGCTGAACTAGAATTCGTCTCTTCTGGGCAGACAAAAGTTTCTTAGGGTAGCATTTAGTTCTCGAGCAAGCCAAATTCCAGTCCACAAGTTCAGAGGCAAAAAGAAGCAAGTCTCCACGATTATTTCAGGTTTAGAGCTGTGTGCACATCCTCCAATAGACCCCAAGAAAACACCAAAAGGGCATTCATCATTTGGCCCCATGAATAAGGAAAGGAATGGACTTCATTCCCAGGAAGCCACTTGCCTAAACTTGCCCCTTGGGAATCCAAGTAGACCCATCTCCTATTTAATTAGTGGTAATCAGAAGCAAAGATAGCCACCTCCCCCCCTGCCCCCCCAAAAGACACTTGAAGAGATGAAACTGCACCATTCACCAAATCCTAACTGCACTGTCAATTTTTCCACTTCAAACCACCATCCTTCCTTACCAACACTTTTGTCTCCACTTAATTATAATACTGTCAAAGCTCATGGCATTGCTTGGAAGGAGAACCAGAAAGCATTACACCCAAGCTCCTGCTGATTTTCCAGCATTTACTTCTAAAAGAACACTTAGTGAAATTAATGCAGCCCTATTAATTTAAAAATAAAAGCTCCCCCTCCCATATTTCTTTCACTTGACTGCTTGAGGATGCTTGTAGAGTGGTTATAGGCTGCATTATCCGAATAACCAAATGTCATTTTACTCTAATGATATAGAGGCAAACACTCATACTCAGCTCCAAACTGCACTGAGATCTTGCACAGCATCAGCCACAGATGATGATAACCACAGTGGAACTGAACTCTGAATAAAATATCTCATCCACTATTTACCCAAAATGAAGACTGAACTGAATTTTCTACTGATCGCTGTAACACTGTAAGGACAAAGGTTTAGAATAGAAACAAATAAGAAATTCTTTTAAGTGTGCGTTTCTCTAGCATCGATGTGCCTGTGTGTGTGTGTGTGTGTGTGTGTGTGTGTGTGTGTGTGTGTGTTTTAATTACTGGATGTTGAAACAGAACACCTCCTAGAAGCATTCATGTGCATCAGTCTATCAAACCATTTACTCAAATTAAATGTGTAATCCTTCAAATGCCTCCTTTCAAATTAATGAGTTTAAGTAGCTTGAGTTCACCTGAAAAGATCCTATAGGCACCTGACCTCCTGAATTCTTTCCATTAGCTGCCCCGAAGCCTGTTGGAAAAGACGCTTACGCCGATATGACTGTTCCTATACATTGCTTTAAAATGCAAGATTAGCATAATCCTATCGTCTCTTTTGGGGATCAAGGGCAGTGTTACAAATGGCAACAACAAAAAACAAACCCCAACATTCTTCAAATGAAAAAAATAAAAAACAAAAAAAGCCAGATTCTCCACCAAAAGCCACACACCAACAGTGAGCATACTAAATCTTTCCAGTGAGCCTATGAAGAAAAACACTACCACTAGATCTGGGTTTTACTTTATTGTTATTATTATTATTATTATTATTATTATTATTATTATTATTTACTATAAAAAGAATTGCAAGTCTTTAAACTGATGGGTAATCAGTGTTTTTCACTAGGAGCACAAAGAATGAGTCACAGCATTCCGCTCAAAAAAGTTGAAAAGTGCTTATGTAAATATCATAATTAGCCATCACTAGAGACGAATCATTTCTCACTAACTGCACTTTTATTTTTAAATAAACCTTTTGTCTCTGAGTGTGAGTCCCCGCTTAGCTCTGAGAAAGCACCTGAACGCCCACATTTTTAGACATGCTTACTTTTAACCTGAAGACCAAGCTGAGGCTACACTTAGAATTTATTCCAGAGGGTGCTCAACCTTGGACACTTAACCGCCCAAATACCACCAGATCAGAGTTTTTAGCCTTAATTTGTCATCAAATACTGTAAAATTAACACAAGCTTTCTTGAGTCCCTTAATGCCTCCAACTAGAGGGTTTTTTTTCTCTCTCTCTCTCTCTTTTGAAGTGAAGTCTGTTATGGATCCCCATAGATGTCCGCTCCATCCTTAAACCCCTGGTAACCCCCTGGCCTTGCTCCTGCTGGGCTCGCCCATCTGGCAGAAAGGCAGCGGACTTACCTAATGTAGTCATTTCTGCAGAGGATCATGCCGCTCTTGGTGTAACAGGACGTGCCGATGTCGCCCAGCTGCGCCTGGCAGCAGGAGCACTTGAGGCAGCGGCTGTGCCAGTAGCTGTCCATGGCATAGAGCAGAAAGCGGTCCGCAATCTTGCCCCCGCAGCCTGCGCAGCGCTTCCAAGAGAGGGAGCCGGCCGTCACCGGGGGCGGCTGCGAGCTGCTGCCCGGATTCACCATGGTCTAGGGAGAGAGAAAGACAAAACGGGCGATGCAAAAGTTAGAAGTCGATCGCGGGGCGCCTGAAGCCAGCGCGCTCCCCTCCTCCCTCCCCCGGAGTGGCTGCAAGAGAAGCAGCAGCAGGGCCAGGGCGGGAAGGAGGCCGATCGGGGAGAAGGGAAGGAGGGAGGCTCGCCGGCAGCAGCCGCCTGTTTACTTTTCTCAAGCTTTGTTCTGGGGCCACGAGCGGCTCTCAACTTTCCAAAGCGCTCGCCGCCGCTGACAATTTCAGCTCGGGGACTGTCAAAACTCCGAGAGCCAGGCTCGGTGGCGCGCTCCACCCCTCGCGGCGCCTCCTCCTTCTCCTCCCCCCCCCCCACCCAGCGCCCGCCTCCGCCCGCCCCTCCCGCCGCCGCCCGCCTCCAGCAAATGAGGGTCAAACCCACCCACCGCCGCGCCCGGCCCCTCCCCGGCCCCCGCCGAGCCCCGCGAGCCAGCCGCGGGCCGCTGGAGGTGGCCGCCCCGCCGCAGCCACGTTCCCTCCCGAGCTCTGCCGGGGGAAGTGAGGCTGCAGTTCATAAGTTGCAAATAGTTAGGGGTTTGGGGCAAGGCGGGGAGCGGGGGGGGGGGGGGGGGGACGACGAGGGGGGGAAGAGGGAGGGAAAAGCCGAAGGGGAGATGAGGTGGTGGGAGGGGAGGCAAGGTGGCGAGAGGGAAGGGGGGTGCCGGGTGTAAAGTTGCGAAACTGGTTTTTCGTATTTTAAACAGCACCTTTCACATGCCATTGTGGTGACCGCCATCTCCCATTATTGTTCCAAATCTCATTTCATTTTGAAGATCAATGAGTGTTTTCAGGACACAGGCAAGGATAATAGATCATTGAACTTTAGGATGCCTGTTAACTTCCTATACAAACACTCTCCACTTTGGTCTCGCTAATCTGCCCTTGATCAGCAATTTAAATGCTAGAGCTTTGTTCCTCCAAGGGGGGGGGGGGTAGATAATGTGCGAGGAGGCACTATTGAGGGACACACAAGTTAAATTCAAGCCAGTCCTGCTGTCACCCCAAACTGCTTTTAAACACCCCCCCCCATACACACACACTTTCTAATGAATGCCACAAGAGAAGCAACTGGGGTATAATATAGGAATCAATTTATAAAGCTTAGCTTAAACCGATTAATTTGTTGCCTCCAATACGGAGTCCAATAAAGTCCTAGTGTTTCTCCAGTCACTTATTCTATAAAAAGATCAAGTTATTTACTGCCAATTAAGCAGCTTGTTTTGTCTTTGTCCTCTGTAAGGCGAGAGTGTGGGCTCCCCCAGGCTCCCAGCTATCTGCTCAAGACATTCAGCTGATACCTCAGAAGGGAGAGGGCGAACTTTGTCTGTCTCCAGCCCAAGTTAACTGCTGCAAAGAACAGGGGAGAGCGAACGAAAGAAGGACTCCGGTTCCTTAAATAGGCCGATTTTAAACACATTTCCTCCGAAAGAGTCCCGGAACGTGTGTCCAGTGACCGCACAATAAACCAGAATAAGAACTGCACCAATTAAGCTGTAACAAAACCCTGAGACTCTGGAAACAGGACCGCTCTAAAACCCATTAGCATTGCATTTATCCGAATGCATCATACCTTTATGTAAATTGATTTATCTGATGCATTTACTCGAGGAATTGCTTTTTGTTACAATTTCAGCCCTAACCCAAATGAATCTGCATTTCCTGCCCTAGGTCTTTAAACTGTTCCCCCTCAACGTTTTAATCGCTCCGAATTCCTTTTTAAAAGGGGAGGGGGAGGGAGGAGATTCCAAGCTGCTCCCCGCCCCCATCTTTAGTGAGAGGTAAATATATATGTATTTTTTTTTGAAAAGGAAACATTACACTGAGAAAAGCATCCAGTAACCCCATTAGCTAAAGCTCTTAAGGACAAGCAATACCTTAATGCTGATTAAATCTAAAAGAGATGAATCAAGAGGACTGACCAGAAACTGACTCCCCTGATAACTAAGGACGGGCCCTCATCAAGTTTCATTTAGAGTTGGAAAAAAAAAAGAAAGAAAGCTTTTAAGTTAAATAGGCTTATACTCTAGTAATTACATAGCCAAGCAATTTAGGTCCTGGGATAGTCAGTGAAATAGAAAGCAGAGCTGGCAGCTAGAGGCAAAATCTGCCCCCCTTTAACAACGTCTCTGGTGTTTTTTAATGGAGACCAAGGGAGGGACAAACGTAGCGCTGGCCATTTGTAGTACAAAAATGGATGCTTAATTCATGTCTTGATTTTAATTAGGTGATTCACCGGATTTCTCCTGGATTGGAACAAAAGACTTATAAGCCAAGAGGAATTCTTTTAAAAAGAACCGGCAATGCCGGATCCTGGTCACTTAGAGCTTTTCGGTCCCTGTTTCAAATAGTGTTGGGGGGGGGGGTCACGACTATCGCCCCCACCCACGCACACACCACTTCTCATCTAAGCAGCCCCTGCCTTTCCTTAAGAACTGAAACTGCCCCCAGCCCTCTCCAGGGTCCCCACCAGCCCGGTCTCCAAGAAGAACCCTTTTGTAAGCAAGGAACCGCTACAAAGCTGGCGGCCCGGGGCTGCCCTCCGTGCTAGCTCGCAGGCCGGCCTCCGGTAGTTTCAGACTCACGCATTATCTAAGGCGACGTATTGTTTACTTGCAATTTGGGACGGTCAAGGGAAGGAAGCCAAAGAAAACAGCCCCGGCCCCGATCAGCTCCCCCCCTCGCCCCCTCCCGGGCCGCGGTGCCCCCAGCCACCCCCTTACCTGCTTCTCCCCTATATTGCAATACTGCGAGAGGCGGCGGCGGCGGCGAAATGCGAGCGGAGCCGCTCGGCTTCCAGGGCAGGGGCGCCGGGGCCGGCGGAGCTGGAAGGAGGGAGGGAGTTCTCGCAGAAGCAGGAAAGGGGAGGAGGGGGCTAAGGGCTGATTTTTTTTTTTTTAATCGCGTGGCTCTGGGGCGGGTAGAGGGAGCCCCACGCTAAGTGGCAGGCGGCCCGGCGCAGAAGTGTCAAGTCTCAGCCCGCGGGTCCTGGTCCTCAGCCCCCGGCTGCGCGCGAGCAGCTGCAGGCGCCCTCGGCCCGGCCCGTGCGGCGCAGCGGCAGCCACTGCTGCAATCGCGGCTGCAAGTTTGGCAATGTGGCTTCACTTTGTACGCGCTCCCGCCCCCGCCGCGCCCGCGCTCCTCCTCCTCCGCCGCCGCCTTCCTCCCGCCCGCCCGCTCGGGGCCGCCGGCGGCTCGGCCGAGCTCCCCCCTCCCGCGACCTGCGGCCCGGGAGCGGCGGTGCAAGCTCGGCCCCGCGGCCCGCGCGAGGGCGCACGGAGTGGAGAGCGGCGGGCTAGCCGGGAGCGCTGGACCGATCGGCTGCCCCGCTGCTGCTGCCCGGCTCGGAGGCGGCGGCGCGGGCCTCTAACCGGCTCGCTCGCTCCTTCGGCGGCGCTTACACATGTGTTACTGACAGAGCAGAATCCCAACTACTCCCCGGCTCTGCCGCCGACGTCAGCGACCCTCAGCCACTGGGCGGCCGGATTGTTCAGGCGGAATAATAAAACCTGCCAATCCGGGGAAGGACAAAGGGTGACTGAAACGAGACTCGGGGGGCGGGGAGCGAGGCGAGCGGCTGAGCGGGCCCGGCCCGGGAAGGCGGGGGGCCGGGGTCGGGGGGGACGAGAGGGGACCTCGGTGACGCGGGGGACGCGGCCAGGGAGCGCGTGCCCAGGCTCGGGACCACACCTGCCTGTCCGGCGCGCGGGGACGCGGGGAGCCGCCCCCGAAGGGCCTCGGGGATCGCCTTCCCTGGCCCAGAGAGCAGACCCTGGGAAACTTACTTTCCCAGAAATGGGTCTCTTCCTGTTAGGGTAGAGGATTCCTTCTGCTAGAGGGAGGTGGACTTCACACAGGCGCAAAAGCGGGTGTTTTGTTTAATTCACGGGATTGCAGATTTCAAAACCTTGGGGAAAGTGGGAAGTAGTTTCTACCTAAGAACTGCCTGCTTAACCCCATCTTGCTCTCATTAACCCGTGTAAACTGGATGGAGCAGGCAATTCATAGATGCTTGTCAGTTGCTGGTGGACACAGATCACATACTTGGTTTTCAGAGATGAAGAAAACTTTATAGAAAAGCCTTTGCTCATCATTCTCCCTCAGTCTGGGGGATGATATGCTCGCTCTCTCGTAGCCCCCAAAGCGATGCAAGCCTTTGCCAGACCTGTTAGCTCACAGCCCTGAGAAAGGAAGACTAGTCATTTCTTGTACATACCAAGATCTGAGGAGTGCTAGCTCCAGAGCCTTTTCCCAGGGCCAGAGCTCAGCCTAGATCCTCGACTCTCTAGTTATTCGACTTTATTCTGCCAAATAGGTTTAATAAGTCTCTGATCTGAGGTTAATATTAGGATTGATTATTAATTGTAAGTTCCAGAGAGATTTTTCTGTTGGAAGTTATCATGGAAGTGCAAAGCCCTTCTGCTAAGTATCATTAACGACAACCAGCCTTGTGGGACAAGCTTTCATACTGTATTACACACAGGCCTGCTAGACTGAGGAAAAGAAGTTGAAGAAAAACCAGGCAAAAACATCTATAGTCCCAGTATCTGTGTGCAGAATTTTTGGTCCTTTAAACTGCCAAAATTAAGGCGAAAGAGTAAGTATTGCCCATGAAACCAAGCAGAGGATGATTTTAATGTCCGTTAAAATGCCCATTTCTATATTCTAGCTCCTGGAATTCCTAGCATGTTACAGTTAAAAATTATTTTTGTGGATTTGTATTTAACATTGCATGCTCACTTCACCTTGTGCACATATTAAAAGCATTCTTATCACAATCGTCGACGTGATAATAATAATTGGAACGTCCTATGCAGAAAACGGGCAGATGAACATGATGAAAGCAGGCCAATTTAGGAAAGTTTTTTTTTTTTAATTCTAAGGAGGAAAGAACACCATGAAAGAATAATAAATTGTAATTCCTGGGTTCATTTTTGACTTGTTAATAATTTAAATCAACCACAACTAAGTAAACACAAGGATTTCTGTTTTTTAATACCAGACTCAAAGTAGATATTTCTACCTTTGCCTTCTTTTGAGTTCTGGGATTTCGGGCCTACACCACCTTGTCCAGCTGGTATAAGATCTCAGTGGCTGCTATTGTGATAAAATATGTCAGATGAGAAGATTTCCATCTCTTTGCAATCACTTTCTTATCTAGGAAAAAAATGAAGACGTTAAACCATATGGTCATTATTTTTCCTTTTTAGCTGATTTTTTAAAACCAGAACACATAACAGCATCATAGTGAGCAATGATATTTCAAGTATGAACACTAAAATGAAATTTTAATTCTAAAATAAAATCTTATCAATTTAAGCAGTAATGTGCTCCGCTATCACTGAATGGTTCTCTAAAGATCCAGGTAGTTTTTGTGGAAGGAAGGAAAGAGAGAATGCTGGAACTTTGAACATGTGTCTCAGGGCTACACAGGGCCTACGCTTTCAGTGGTGGTGTTACTGTTTTGGTTCTAATTGTATGTGAAGTCTGCATACATACCCCAGTGAAGTGGAGTGGGCGGGAATATATCACCAGAAAGCTGTATTTACTGATTATTGTGGTTATAGAAATGCAAAGGTGGTAGAGGCTACCATCTTCTCCGAGGGGTAGGAAGTGATCCATTCGCCTTAATCAAAATCCAGGTGTACTTTAACCACAGCGCCACCTCTGGGTAGTCTTTATTTCTGCATCCTTCCTCTAAGAGGTCCTTTCTCATGCAGGTAGCTAGGTCTGTCCGTGGTCTCCCAAAGTGCTTGTCTGAGAGAGGAATCCCAGGTCCCTCTTTTATTTGTGCTCATCCTAAACACACAAAACGGTGAAAACATAGAAGTTCTTGAAGGGTACTGATGCTTTAATAGAGTTGTTGAAACAATTATAGAAAATAGCCCCAAGAAATAATTCTGATGTAAAATTAACTCAGGTTAATGCTGCATTGTGTCTGTTGGTTTGGGAAGACTGCTGATGTCACATAGCCATCTCCCAGTAACCTAAAATAAGACACAAAAGTGTGGTACTTTATAAAGAAGAAAGAAAGAGCCCCAAACTGTTTCCCAAGTTTTTATTAAATATAGGAACCACATGGATCCTAAATCAGGCCTTCCTTTTCCCTACTTGCCCTGAAATTATTTGTCTACACCTTCCATCTTCTCGTCTGAGCTCTCCCTCATGGACTCTGCACTCTCCAGTGAGAATTATTCTAAGAATCCACAGACAGCAGAAGTCTGTCCTCCATCTGAGGTGGCAATGTCCAAGACAAGCGCCCAGCTCTTTTTCAAGGGGAGGAGGGCAGGATGGTGTCCTTTGAAAGCCCGTGAAAAACTGTGTTTTTGAAGAAAAGCTTTTTAGGAAAGACATTGCAAGAGTGACTGCCCATCTTTACTCTGGCGTCTTAGAATTCCAAAGGTCCCAGTGTAGAAGGCAGGAAGAGGAAACTCGTTAAAAAACTGAGACCAAAGACTAGCGGGTGGGTTATGCTTTTCTATTGGCTGGGTGAGGGGAACACAGTACAGTAACCAGGGCCTGGAAGAGCATGAAGCTTTTAAGAAGAGGAGTTAAAACTGAATGTGGTGTGCTAGTCATATGTGCCTATTGTCTCGGCTACTTGACAGGCTGAGGTAGGAAGACCGAGCTGGGAAATTTGGGGCAGCAAGACCTCAAAGGAAGAAAGAGGAAGAAGAAGAAAAAAGGAGGGCTAGGGGATGGAACTCGGTTGGTAGAGTGTTGGGGCAGAGTGTAGCTTTGTTAGATCCCCAAGAGTGCATGAACAGGTGTGGTAGCACACGTGTGACCCTCACTCAGAAGGTGTTGACGGAAGAATCAGAAATTCAGGGCCATCCTCAGCTGCATAGAAAAGTCCAAGACAGCTTGAGCTGCATGAGATTTTTGTCTCAAAACACGGAAGGGGAACCAAGAGAGGAGTTCCCATGATAAAAGGATAAGCAGTGGCTTTATTAGAACATGAAAAAAATCTCAATTATTATACATGGTAAATATCCCACCAAATCATTTATGTGAGTCAGTTTTAGATAGAAAGTTCTAGCCTAACTCCTACTGTATAAGGGAATCAAAACTAGAGGGAAGAGACTGATCTTTTTGAAATAAAACAGAACATGGCTGAAGAAAACAAGAAAATATCCATATTGATGACATAGCATTGAGACTGCTGTAATTGGAAATATAATTGAAGATGTAGATTCTGCTTTTAATTTTTCTGTTTTATTAGGGCATGTGGCAATGTCAGGGAAGGTAAAAAAGATGATGTGGGGAAAGGGAACAGATTCATGAATGTTTTCCCTGGCAAGCAAGGCAGCTTTAATATAATTGTAAAAAATGACTCATTTTCTTCATGTGGGTTCATAAGGAAGAAAGGCTTTAACTACACCCCAAACCTGCTTCAGAACTATTAGTAAATCTTCATTTAGGACTATATCTTTATATATTTAGACTATATATTTAGGACGGTTTCTTTGGAGAGATTTGGCTTCTCCAGACTACATATTTAAGATTGAAGTCTGTCAACACTCCAAGCACAAGTGATATTCTGCAAAGCAATTCACAGACTATCTGCAAGAGTCTTGGTGTGTTCCTTCAGACCTTCTACAGCAGCGTTCTCAAGCTTCCTAGTGCTGTGACCCTTTAGGACAGTTCCTCACACTGTGGTTCTGAACCCTAATCATAAAGTTATTTTCATTGCTACTTTGTACCTGTAATTTTGCTACTGTTATGAATCATAATGTAAATATCTGTGTTTTCCCATGATCTTAGGTGACCCTGTGAAAGAGACCTCGACCCACAGGTTGAGAACTGTTGTTCTAGATGGTCTAATGGGTCAGGTGATGCTTATTGAAACTGAGGTGAAACTTTTTCTGGATAAATTTAATAATAGGTACAAACGAGAATACAAATGTATATGTATGTGAAACAGTCACTACTGAGTATATTAAAATTATATATTCATTTTTGTCAAAAACAGTGAGCCTGTTTAAAATCAATTACTGTCCCTCTCCCAGACAAAAGAACTAAGTACTTATTGACAGAGAAATTACAACAACATACAACATAATTCATTTTCTTTTTTG